CATTATATGACCAGCAAATGACCCCTATTGATTTTGGGGTCAAGGGGTCAAAGGTCAAGGTCACATTGACCTTGTAAGTAAAACGGTTTCTGATCAATTAACTAAAAATGCTTAGGCCTAGGAACTTCAAACTTTGTATGATGATTGGTCTTGACCAGCAGATGACCCCTATTGAGTTTTGGGTCAAGGGGTCAAAGGTCAAGGTCATGACCAGTAGATACTTGATAACCCTTATTAATTGTTTGATCACTGGGTCAGAAGTCATGCATAATTACCTTATCACATGAATAATTGGCTGCTGATAGGGGGCATACATGTTTTACAAACATATCTTGTTATTTTTAAAGTTTGTCCGGACTACTTCTCTTATACCACTTATGCAATTTCAATGAAACTTGATTGGTCTGTAGCTCAAGTCCTTGCGCATATTGCACGAGTTTTTCGGTTGAATGATTTTTGGCTGAGTTATGGCCCTTTGATAAAAAGGTGTTTTTTTCTGTGTGTTGCCAGATACATAAAAGCTTGTCCGGACTACTCTTCATAAACTTCTGGTGCAATTTTATCCAAACTTTACAGGAATGATCAGTACCAAGTCTAGTTGTGCCCTGTCTGTCTGTTACAAAACTTGTCCCAACAGGAAATTGGCCATCATGAGGCGACACATGTGATCACTGATCGCTCTTGTTTTACATTTTGAATAAATATCATGGAAAAAAGAAGTGCGGGAATGATCTGAAATTTTGCACAAAGATTGGTGGTCTAAGCATACATAAAATGGTACATTTATCTTGAAAAAATATTTTCAGTCCCAGCGTGTCAAAAAACCCCAGTGGAGTCCCTTTAATGTGTTGTCATTTTCTTGAAAATTAAAGCATAAAAACACATTGATGTGAATACGAGGAGGCAAAAGTCCGCCTCTTATAAAAAAAAAGGGTGGGAAGCTTACAGAGGGCAACTGTCCAGGGGGGCAAAGAATCTTGCAAATAGGGAAGTAGGGTTAAGATTTGTGACTGTCTCACATGGTGATAAAAGCAGAGATCTGCCGAGGACGCGATTTTGCGCCATTGGCGCTAAAAAAATGAGAATGGCGCAGGAAAATCGGCAGCAAAGGGCCATGGGCGCATCTAAAATCTGTGCCAGACTTATAAGAAAACAAAACTGTCTGCTGGGTTATTTAGTCATCCAGTCAAAACTGGTACCAACAGCAACATGTTACCCATGCTCCTGTAATTACGCATATTCTTGAGTTTATCCATTCTCCTATAGCTTTTGTCCATGCTATCTACTTACCGCATTTCTTCTCATAATCCCTTTCCCACACAGATACTCATTTCTACTACCATAAATTTAATCCAATAAAACAAACAAACAAATTATACAACTACTTAATATTTAAAATGATTATCGGTAACTGAAAAAAAAGTGTTGCTATTTTAAGAAATGCTGTAAGTTACAGTATAATTTGACAGGTGTTCAACTTGATCAACCCTAAGGTCACTCAAGTTCACGCAAGTTTTGGATGATGAAGTGTAAAAAAAGACGTATATTTCGTCATCAGAATATTTGACAGGTTGATTAACCAATCAGAGAAACATTGTGCATGATTTTTTTCATGATCAAAAGGTCTGTCGGCAAATGTCTTTGATGTATGCTGTCTACACAGAAGCATACAAGGGGCAATAAATTTGCGTCAATATACAGTGGTAAGGGACATTTGGTGCAAAGTAGGAACAATTAAATGGATAATGCACAATATAAGACATTACAAGTAAGAACCAGCAATTATGTGAATAAATTTGCATATCAAATTTTTTAGCAGCCATTTAAAAAATATTTTGCCTGCAATTAATAATAGTAAGTAAGTTGCCATGTAGGCATAATTTTTAATTATTGGTTAAGTACTGAATTATAAGTGAACCACTTGTCATAAAATATGATTTAAGTTTTATTACCAGGGAAATTCAATTATCTACAAACTTTTTAACAGTTATTTTGGTCAATGTTTACTTATATTCCCAAGGCCCATACTTTGGTAAAAATGGCCCATCATTTTCAGACCAAGTGGGCCCAGGGCCCAGTACTTTCAAATTCTTGGCAGATCTCTGTAAAAGATATAAAAACATGCAATTTTAACCAATGATGATTACCATCTGTCCTTATTTGGATGTAAATACACTGCCATACTTAATAACACAGTTAATGCTACTCTGCAGAAACAATTATAGACATTTTACTTCTTTTAGCCTGGTCTTACAGTATTAGTTGACATTATTGTCTGAAGGAAAAACATTTGATAATTATGGTGTGCAGCAGTGCTGACAGCTATATTTACCTGGTGAATTTGGATTTTATTTATTGATTGTATATTATACCAAACTTGTTTAATTTCAGGTTTATATCTGATGGGATTTAAACCAAGAAGTTCATTAAAGATATACTTTAAAGTAAAACCAGCATCGTTCATTTATCCTGATGAAAAAGTAAGTAAAAAATGTTCTTCAATATATCTGTATACATGTAACTAGAGATGTTGTTATGAGCCTTATTTATTAGACACAGGGTCTCTTTGGCAGAGTGGTTTAGGTCGGCAAAAAAAGTTCACATGCTCTTTGCTGCTGAGGGTTTGAATCTTGTTTATAAGGGACTTGTATTCTATCAAGTTTGGAGAAGCTGTCCTGCTAGCTTACAGTTTAATGGCTCTACTCTGGTGCCCTTTCGTTTCTGAAATAATGCACAAAGGGGCCCCTGAGGTCTTTTTCTACCAGTAAAGCTGGAAAGTCACCATATGACCTTTACAATGCTGGTGTGACTTGAAATCCAATAAAACAAATGCATATTAGACAGCTCTTGATTGTATTCATTTTTGGCTTGTCTGTTTCGAAAGAAAAAAGTCGAGATATTATAATTGTTGCTTTGTCTTTGTTGTCGCTGTGCATAAATTTAATGTAGCCCACCATTCAAACATATTAAAGTTATTAATAGGAAACTTGGAATACTTGCTTATCATGACAAGTTGCAGATGTGAAACAAGGGGTTTAATTCTGAAAGTAATATTTTAAGAGTTATGCCCCTTTTTGACTTAGAATTATTAACAGACAAGCATTTACACTGCATAAGGTGCTCTTGTATTAAATGGTTCAAATATCTTATGCATAGGATTTATTGAATTATATCTAAACGGCATTTATTTATGAATTCTTTAGTCTTATCAAATGAGGTGCTCGATAACAGTCTTAAGATTTTAATTTCCATTTTATAAATTTTCATTGTGCTTTTTTTTCCATTTCATTAAGTGATGTTAGCTATACGTAGCATAGACCATATGTTTAATCTTATGTTTATCATACAATTTTTGTTTAAATTTACAGACTATTATTGGTAGCACTACCTTGTTCACAGCATTATTGAAGAAGTGTGTAGACCGTGATGTGGTCCCAATCTGTAAATACATCCCCGGGAAAAATTATCCTCCAAGATTTGTTGCTCTACTTCCGCAGGCAAGTATATTTATAATTACTTATATCACACTTTGATCAATTTTAGAAGCAGTGAGTTTTTAACCATTTTTGAGAAAGGGTGTCTTTTTATGTTGGCATATCACCTTAACTGTGGTGTTGACAATGACATACCTAAAAAATCAAGTGAATTGAAAACAGAAACAATTTCTAGACTTCAGATTTCATAGGTCTGAATACTCGGTCAAGAAGTTTTAAGATAATCTGTTTGATTCCATTTTCTCTCTTCACAACAAAGTCAAGTAATTTATCTACAGATATTGACAATAATTAGTGGTAAAACTAGTAGATACTTCTAGTATAGATACAGAGTCATTGTTTGCTTATTCTTAATTTGTTGCCATAATTTATGTTCAAGTTGGAGCTAAATTGGAATAGTAGGAGCTTTAAGGGAAGAAAGATTTAGCCTGAAATGGAAAGGTTGTTAGTAGGACTTAAAATGGTAAGGGTGTAGCTAAAATTGAAAAAATTGAAAAGTAGGAGCTAAAATGGAAAATTGGAGCCAAGATGGAAAATAGGAGCTTAAATGGAAAAAAAGAGCTTAAATGGAAAAGAGGGAGCTTAAATAGTGTCCATTGAGTTACGCTTTTGAAACAAATGCGGTATCAGCCAGTATAAGGTTGAAATACTGTGTAAAAAAAACACAACTGGCCTTAAAAATCAAACCAAATATATACAAGGCAAACATTTAAGACATAGGTATATACATTACAATGAGAAATGTTAAATTTTTACCTCCAGGAGGAAGAGTGTGATGAACACAAGGTACAGTTATGTCCCCCTGGCTTCCATGTTATTTTCCTACCATTTGCAGACGATTTCAGGAAAGTCAAATATGAGCAAAATACAAAAGGTAAAATAAATCTATATACATGTACTTTTTGTTTTACCTGTAAATTAATTCATACCTTTTGAAGTATTAAATGATAATTGTGCATGTTGAGCATATATGTCAAAAATCAGTTTTCAAAAGCTGTATGCAATGCTCAAACTTAAAGCGACCTTGACCTGACAAACAATTATGTTTTGTTTCAAACTAAGTATTTCTGTGATTTTAATTTGGAAAAGTGCATCGTATCACTGTTAGGCCTGTATAACAAAAAGGGAGGTAATTCATGATAGTCATTAATATTATTTCAACACTGATCAAGGAAGAATTGTCACGTTCTAATATATTGTGTATTATATATAACAGCTAATTCAGACCAGATAGATGCTGCCAAAGAGATATTGAAGAAACTTCAGTTTACGTACTCAGCCGAGAGCTTTGAGAACCCAGTTTTACAGAAACACTGGAGAAACATCGAGGCCCTGGCTTTAGACAGGGATTCTCCTGAAGAGATGACAGATTACACATGTTTGTTTTCTTGTTGACAAATTCTTATATGTAATTGATTTGTCAGTACCGCCACTTTCTGTGCAATCAAGCCAGATGCTATTCTATTGGTTGCTCAGTAATAGCTTTTGGTATTGGTTTAGACATGTTTTTAGACATGTTTAAATTTATTCAAGCTGGACTGTGAAATATAATGCTCCAGTCAGCTTTCTAGAATTAACCAGTACTGAAAAGGGGCATCCATGGCCAAGTGGTCAAGATTTAGACATGAATATACATGTATTTATATTCAAGCCTGACTGTGAAATATAAGGCTCCAGTATGCTTCTTAGATTTAAGTGGTCAAGATCTTTGGATTCTTCCATGTGAGAGAGAAAGTTATCCAGCTAGCTTACGGATTGTCAGTGGTTCTACTCAGGTGCCGGTTCGTGCCTGAAATAATGCAAGGAAAGACACCTGAGGTCTCCCTCCACCAGTTATGCTGGAAAGTTTCCATATGACCTATACTGTGTTGGAACAACATAAAGCCCATCAAAAAGAAAGAACAGAACTGGTGTTATGTAAGTAAAAATGGTTATGACCAGTGTAGGTCTTGAACATAAAACCCCTTGGTTAAGAGGCAGACACTCCCTTAGACGTGGCTACTGCTGCCTTTAATATTGATATTGAAGCCCCTTAAAGCAACAGTAGACAGTTCTATATCCTAAGCAAAGGGTGTCTATTATACTGATTAAGTTGTGAAAGGTTGAAGTGTTTTTGTATGTAAATTATATTTTGTGAAGTGTATGAAAATCATGTTTGAAAACGTTATTTTGCTATCCAATAAAGTTTATTTCAGCTATCCAGATGTATGTATAGTAAGTTTTGATTTGTATTGTAGTACCAGATGAGGATAGAATAAAGAGGAGAGCTGGTGACGCTATAGATCAATTTAAAGACCTTGTTTTTCCAGCAGGATATGTTGCAGGGGCCAAGAGAAAGGTATAGTGTATTTCTACTCATTAAGTATAACTATAGGGGCGTCCGTTGCCGAGTGGTTAAGGTCATTGCCTTCAAACCACTTGCCCCTCACCGCTGTGGGATCGAATCCCGACAGGGACTTTGGATTCTTTCATGTGAGGAAGCTATCCAGATAGGTTACGGAACGTCGGTGGTTCTACTCAGGTGCCCATTTGTGCCTGAAATAATGCACGGAAGGGCACCTGAGGTCTTCCTCCACCAGTAAAGCTGGAACATCGTGATGTGACCTATACTGTGGCGATGCAACATAAAACCCAAACGGGGAAAAAAAGTATAACTATGTTTAATTTGAATGCATTTGTGCTACAAATTAAGGCCTCACAATCTTTATTCTCATGTATGGATAAGTGGAGGCTTTTGTGTTCGAGAGGTTCCAGTCATTGACTTTAAATTGCTGGCTCTTCACTGCTGTGGGTTTGAATCTTGCCAGGATGGATTCTTTTCTCTTGAGGAAACATTTCAGCTAGCTTATGGAAGATCAGTGATTTGTCTTAGGTGCTTACACATGTATGAAATAATGCAAGGAGGGGCACTTAGTCTTAAGTCATTGGTCACCGTATGACATATGCTGTGATGGTGTGACATGAAACGAAAGAACAAAAAACAAAGATTCAAGTGTAGTGAATGCTATCAATGAGTTTGTGTTTTCTTGACATAGCGGTTTAAAGTCCCTTATTCTGAGAAAATGCATACTCAAATTCAGCCAGCAGTTCTACACTGGTTGGCGGTTCTACTGATATACATTTGTTCTTACATGGAATAAAATATGGAAGTTCTGGGGTTTTACTGGACCAGTACCAAAAGTGACAATGGGACTAAAAACTTGACTAAAAAGAAATGGACAAGCGTAATTAGTGTATCTTGTCATTTGTTCTGGAACTATGAATGCCTTATATTTGGTGTGAAGTTTGTTTACTACATTTATATTCTATTTATCATATACACATGCAACTGTTTAGGACACAAATGATAGAACTGGGCATAAGTGTAATTTTTAGCTCGACTATTCGATAAGAATAAGTAGAGCTATTGCAGTCACCCGAGCGTCGGCGTCTGCGTCGGCGTAACCACTTATGTTAAAGTTTTTGTAATAGTTCAAATATTTTCAAAGTCCATTGACATATGGCTTTGAAACTTTGCACACTTGTTCACCATCATGACCCCAACCTGTAGACAGGAGGAGGTAACTCTATCAAGCATTTTGACAGAATTATGCCCCTTTTTCAACTTAGAATTTATGTTAAAGTTTTTGTAATAGTTCAAATATTTTCAAAGTCCATTGACATATGGCTTTGAAACTTTGCACACTTGTTCACCATCATGACCCCAACCTGTAGACAGGAGGAGGTAACTCTATCAAGCATTTTGACAGAATTATGCCCCTTTTTCGACTTAGAATTTATGTTAAAGTTTTTGTAATAGTTAAAATATTTTCAAAGTCCATTGACATATGGATTTGAAACTTTGCACACTTGTTCACCATCATGACCCCAACTTGTAAACAGGAGGAGGTAACTCTATCAAGCATTTTGACAGAATTATGCCCCTTTTTCGGCTTAGAATTTATGTTAAAGTTTTTGTAATACCTCAAATATTTTCAAAGTTCATTGACATATGGCTTTGAAACTTTGCACACTTGATCACCATCATTACCCCAACCTGTAAACAGGAGGAGGTAACTGTATCAAGCATTTTTTTTTACTATCAAGCACTAAGAATAGTCGAGCGTTGCTGTCCTACCGACAGCTCTTGTTTTTCTTTTTGGCACTCACAAAAATAAAATATGCACTGGATGGAGGCATGTGGAATAGAACTGTCTGTATGGTTAAGTCATAATCTGCCGAATTTTTTTATATTGAATTGCTCAGCTTCTATTTTTGACACAGTCCATTATCAATCAAGATGGAAATTTATAGTCAGACTGCAGAAATTTGTTGACATGTTTTACCATTGTTCTGTTCTATCTGCAGGCAGGAGGCGGCGGGGACCCAGGTGCTAAAAGAGCCAAGACAGAGCAAGCGGCTTCAGGGGTCGACCTGAAGGCAGAAGCTGAAGCTGGCCGGGTAAATATATATATGAGCCGTGTCATGACAAAACCAACGTAATGCGTTTGCGACCAGCATGGATCCAGACCAGCCTGCGCATCCGCGCAGTCTGATCAGGATCCATGCTGTTCGCTTACAAACCCTATTACAAGTAGAGAAACTGATAATGAACAGCATGGATCCTGATAAGACTGCGCAGATGCGCAGGCTGGTCTGGATCTATGCTGGTCGCAAATACACAATGTTGGTTTTGTCGTGACGCGGCTCATATAGTATGTAATATCGGAGATACAGTTTGTTATATTTTAATTATATAAAGAAGGCTTTCAAACATTCGGAATGTCTTGTCATGAATTATGATGTTTGTGATTCAAATCCAAATAGTTTAGGTGGCGGCCTGGCCAAATGGGTAACACATCAATCTGTTTATCTAAGGATTGATGGCCGTGTGTTTAAATCCTGTTACAGGCAAGCGTATTTATCTAATCATTGATGACTGTGTGTGTTCAAACCCAGTTATGGGCAAGCTGTTGTTTCCTAGAGCAAGAAACTTTACACTCGTAACTCAATACTGGTTGGTTTTAGAGTGTTTTGTAAAGCTTCCTACACAATCAAACAAATAACAAATTTTGTGTAAACTAAATCCAATTTACATATACCATCAAGCACCTGGTCCAATTATTAGAACTTTTTTCTTGATCGAAGTTTTCACTTAGTGCCAGAAACTGCTAGGCAGATGCTGAAGATCTTTGTCAACAGTAAAGTAGTCAGTAAAGGAATTAAAAGATCATATCAAACTTAATTATATGCCAGAAGAATAGGGAAAAATGTTTTTCAAAAATTGTTTTAACCCTTTTCTATGCTTGGTAATTTAAGTTGCCACACTGCATTGATTCATTTTATTCCATTATATTTTAGCTTGGTAAACTGACAGTGCCTATTTTGAAGGAGAAAATAAAAGAGAACAGTATATCCTGTACGGGCACGAGGAAAGCTGATCTAATAGACGCGATTTGTGCACACTACAATGTGGGCGTGTGAAAGGGATAGACACAATATAATGTGGGCGTGTGAAAGGGATGGACGGGGCATAGTTTCAAAGACATTTCTTGTTTATTTGAGATAATTTGAATGCGAGAGATGAACATATGTTAGTGAAACATGAACACTGTTAGTTGATAAAGTAGTTCTAGTGTTTAGAATTAGATATGAGAAATGAATGAGTATTTGTCCTGGATTATAAACCGTTATTTACCTACATTTGTTTAATGGGCTTGCCCCATTTTCAATTTGGAATAGTCTATTTGTTACTTTAAGGGTTTCAATCTAAAAGCTTATTATTACATGAACAGACATTAGTAAAATAAGTAGCAACACTCAACAGGTTAGTCTGACTGCTTGACATAAACAAAGTGATTTTTCTGGTAGTGTTCAAAGAACTTGAAAGTATTTGTTATATATCAAGTGATTTGATTAGAAGACACACAGTGAAACAGTTTTTTAACCTAGATTTACTTCATATTCTTTATATGTTTTATGTTTAGTTGTTAAAATTTGGATGTCAGATTTGTTAACGATAGTGTTATGTTTGGTTTTATTGAAAATATTTGAGCCGTGTCATGACAAAACCAACATAATGGGTTTGCGACCAGCATGGATCCAGACCAGCCTGCGCAGTCGCACAGTCTGATCAGGATCCATGCTGTTCTCTTACAAACCCTGCTCCAAGTAGAGACACTGATAGCGAACAGCATGGATCCTGATTAGACTGCGAGGATGCGCAGGCTGGTCTGGATCCATGCTGGTCGCTAACCCACTATGTTGGTTTTGTCATGACACGGCTCATTTAGTGTTTACAGTAAAACTTGTGTGAAAAAACCACCTCCAAATTAAGGACATTGGTTAGTAAAGGCCACTCATTTACACAGCCCTTTATTGATTAAGTAGAAAATAGTAACTTTCAATTAAAGACCACTTGTCTAAAATGGTCATGTTTGGTGTCTCCTTTTAGCGGCCTTTGTTGAAATGTTTGACAGAACTTGTTTTACTAGTTTTTGAGAGAAGAAACTTATAAGATACACCATTCTTTCATATCAGGTACTTGTGGAATATTTTTATCACAATACAAACACTAAATACCTTTATCATGTTAAATGGACTTGTCCATTTCTTATTCTGGACAAAACCATTCATCATTTTTAGGGATGTTTTTAAACGTCTAAATGAATAGTGGACAGTGCGGACCATGATCAGACTGCACAGATGACAGTCCAGATAATTAGTTTTTTCCTGTATTGACTAAATATTATTGTGTAGTTACTGACCCATTGTACTGGTCGGGGACCATCAACCGGACACTTTTTGAACATTTTTCTATACAGATTTCATAATTTCAAACCTAGAGACCTGAAAATTTGACACAGTACAGCTAGGTTCTTCTCCTAACTAACAAACTAGTTTGTTTATTTCTGATAATATTGACACTTTTATCTGAGGCCTGTCGTCGAGGGTATCAAAATTATCTAAATTGCCCACACTACAGTACCATGTGTCCGGACGGATATGTACATGACGTGATTTAATTCAGACAAAAGCTTGGGTGTTTAATTCTTTTATTTTCAACATAATATACAATATATCAGCAGCAAATGCTGAAGTTTTGGATATTCTTTTGTTTACTCTGCAAATGATTATAGGTGGTATATGAGGTCAGGTATTGCACACTTGATGCCCCAATTTTCAGAATCAACATTCTTGAAATAGACACTAATATATTACTGTTTACGGATGTTAAAATAAATTTTATTAATCATAGAAGAAACATGCATGTTATAATAAAGTGACTAATAGATCGAAAACCACTGAACAAAGAAAAAAACACTAAATTAAGCGTTTTCGGGGCTGTCTGGGTTTGATGGTTGTCCGGTTTTGGTGGTCTCCAACCAGTAATGTTTAAAGAATTACAAAATTTCCATTGTAACAGTTCTAGACAAAATTTAAAAAAGGTACTTCAGATATAATTGTATACTGGTTGCCTTTTTGTTGGAAATTTATATTTTTTAAGTGAATTTTATAGAAATTGGCAAAAGTTTTCACTATTTTTTTTCTATTTTTTTAGTAGGGAATCTTTTCCTCTGTATTTGAATAAAATTGATTCACCAATTACTGCAAGATGTAATTTACTTTTGAAATCTCAACTATCTTTGAAAAGCTATCAGTTCTCTCAATAGGTAGAGTTTTGGACTGTGAATCTGGTGACCCAGGTTCGATTCCCAGATGGCGTAGGTCACTTTTGTTGTGATTGATCATGAAATCCTTTCTTTGGTCATTCTCATTGTACCTCTGCTCTGGCATGTACAGAAGTAATCAGTTCCTTGCAAAAGTGAAGGCACTAGAACTGGTAAACTGCTTGACAGCGTTCCCAGGAATGATGTGGTGGCTGAACTGTGCTCTGTTAAATTCAATGTGGCTTACTACCGAGATCTGGAGTGAAAACTACTAACACCACCACCACTCCACTATCACTGTTTTAATCAACAAATCACTTTGTAGAATTATCATTTTGTGCTTTGTAGAAATAGCTACTGTTAGTGTATACTTTCATATGTGATCTTTATGTTTGTAAATTACATATTGTAATTTTTGTGAAATAGATGATTAATAAACTTTTAAATACATGTAAGTTTGACTTTGAATTGAATCTTATAGCATATGAAAAGCCTATGAAATTGACAGCTCATGTGTGGCCTGGTTAAAAAGGAGTAAGTTTCAGGGTTAAAATACCAGAGACATAGATAAGCGACTTTTTAGCCAATTTTGTCAATATTTATCCTCGTCCCAAGAATAATGAAAAAACAATAAAAAGTTATGTTATTGGATGATAAATCATATTCTTGCTATTAGATTATATGTTTAGTTTTTATTTGGACATGCATGCATTCTGACAGACAACTTTAAAATAAATTTAATTTAATTTACTTTTTGTACCAAAAGGTTACTCGATTTACCTTTGATAGTAGAAATCTAAGTCACGGGATACGGACAAAAGCCCCCCCCGGACGAAAGCCCCCCCCATCTAAAAATGACAAGGTGGACAAAAGCCCCCCATGAAATTTTCACGTAGGACAAAAGCCCCCCCCCCCCCATAAAAAAGTAAAGGTAGGACAAAAGCCCCCCCCCCCATAGTCAATCAAATTTACATATAGTGTATTAAAGTTGTTTTTTATGTGTTTAAAAGATATGTATGGGCGTCACATGTAGGTGACATAGTGCTTAGGATATTAATTTGATCCCTTTACAAAAGTGATTAAACATTACTACTTTTCTGACCCTTGTTGTGTATATGAAAAGCTATGAATTCGGTATCGCATGCATACATTATTTAATTTTTTATCATAAACTTTGTTATCACTTCAATATATACATTATAAATAAACATTAAAACAAATTCTTTTCATTTTTATTTAAAAGTTTGTGTGAAATTTGATGAATTTGAGCACCTGTGCGAGTGAAAAAAGATGGGGGGCTTTTGTCCTACCTGTATTTTTGATGGGGGGGGGCTTTTGTCCTATGTGAACATTTCATGGGGGGGGGCTTTTGTCCACCTTGTCATTTTTAGACGGGGGGGGGGGCTTTTGTCCGGGGGGGCTTTTGTCCTACACTCCTAAGTCACATCCCAAATATGGAATAACCTTGTTAACACTCTAGGGGCAACTTCTGTCCAAATATCCTGGAAATTGTTAGTAAGATTGTTAGGATGATTTTTCTAGCTCAAGTCCGAATAACGGTCATCGCCTCAAAAACTAGCCACACAAGCCAGATATGGAAAAACCTTGTAAACGCTATAGAGGCGTCTTCTTTGGACTATATATCCTGGAAATTGGCCAGAAAGGTTGTTGGGATGATTTCTAGCAAAAGTTCAAATATGGGCTATCTCGATCTGGGGTCAAAAAGTAGTTCATACAGGCAAAATAATGGAGGAAAAAACCTTTGGCTAGTGTCATATCGACATTTACCGGTGAATATCTATGGTGGCTGATTTGTGCCATTCGTGTTTTCGCCTCGCGCCCCCGCCATTTTAATTTGTTAACTCGACTTTTCGCTTGGCGGGGTCGCGGGACGAAACACGCTAATTAGCGGGGGCGCGGGGCGAAGTTTTATTTTATTAAACTTCGCCCCGCGCCCACGCCGTTTTATTTCTGAATTCTCGCTCCGCGCTCTCGCGGTGCGAAGTTTTATTTGTTAAACTTCGCCGCCGCCCCCCCCCCCCGCTAATAAGCGTGTTTTCGCTCCGCGACCCCGCCATTTAAACTTGTTAATTCTCGACTTTTCGCTTGGCGGGGTCGCGGGACGAAAACACAAATGGCACAAATCAGCCACCATAGAATATCACATCATATTCACTATAGTCTGTCCCACCCAATTTGAATATAATAGTCAATAATTGTATATTATACGGAATGAAGCATGCATCCGTGGCAGAGTGGTTATACTTGAAACTATCTGCCTCCTCACCAGTGTAGGCTCGAATCCAGCTAGCTTACGGAACGTCGAAGGGTGCCCGTAGAAAAGACACGGGATGTAAAATCACTTTTCCAGGAGTAAAGCAAATGACTGAGCCACGCCATTACAAAACCAACATAGTGCGTTTGCGACCTGCATGGATCCAGACCAGCCATGCTGTTGGCTTACAAACCCTATTACAAGTAGAGAAACTGATAGCGAACATAATGGATCCTGATCAGACTAGACTGGTCTGGACCCATGCTGGTCGCAAACGCACTATGTTGGTTTTGTCATGGCTCGGCTCAAATGTAATTTCTAAGAACAGGGAAAGCAAAGGAAAAGTATGGTCGTCAATTATCATTTTTAAGGTCGTATTTTACTTTAGAGACCACGGATTTATATTACATGTAATTTAAATCCGTGTAGAGACGTAGAGTTTTCCTTAGTTGCAATCTAAACATAAAAAAGTTAAAATGTTCTTCTATGCCCAGAAAATGCATTCTTCTGGATAAAGTTTGTTGCTACTACTGTGAATTGTCATTCTAAATGAATTATGTTTGACCATGCCCTTTCCACAGAAAGAAACAATATTTCTTAGACTTAATGTGCCTTTAAAATTTAACTTTATCCAGGGTCTTTCAAAAAGAATTAGAAAGAACCTGCTTTTTTACTTTTAGAAGTGGTCAGATAGAGTCGTGGTTTTGGAACAATAGTAAACTGAAGCAAAGAAATTCTTATATAGATCAAGTGAAGAAATGAAGTGAAGAAAATATGCGAAGGAAAATTTTTTTAGAAATAGAGTCGGAATTAAATATTGAATACCGATTTTTTAGCGCTTCTCATATAGATAATTTGATGTGAATAAGTGAGGTGTATCCAATGGAAGTTGTGTCTGCTTAGAAGACTTAAGTTTAATATCAAAAGGGAGATGTACTCGTATACATGTATTATTCATGAAAATGTTACCAAGGATCGAACATTTTTTCCGGTCCTTTCCGTCGAACTTCCGAAAGGAACGAAATTGCGGGAGTCTGGGATGTTGCAAGAGCTTGTTGCCCAATCCATATGCAGAATGTGTTACTTATTATTTGTATTATATTTTATATGTTTGTGATGCAATAAAATTATGTTTAAACTGGGATCAAAAATAACTTTTTTTTTGTCCCAGTGTGGTCTCAGGTTTTAACTATTTCACCGAGCGTTTTACCGCCAAAACCACTTGACCAATCACGTGATATAATGCATCAGTGATTCGCACACTATTTTACGTCGAGACAAGCTATATATTTATTTTCTTATGTCTTTGAAATCTGCAAAACACGTTATGTAATACACCTTTGTCCGATGAAAATGAAACTTACAGCCACACAAACATTACACGCTAGCCGCAAGGAAGATATTGTAAACGTGAAAATTGAGCTTTTGAAGTATTTGATGCTTTGCTGAAAATTTTTGCAGCCTGTAGGCCTACAATTTGTACAGCACTTAAAATCGTCGAACTTAAAAAAAATCAGTTAAAAGTCAGGTATATTTCCGTATATTTCAGCACCGTACGATTTTGGGACGGTATAGTTCCGTACCGTACTTCAATACCGTACAGTACATTATACTGGTATTAGCGAGCAGACCAGGAAGAAGGAAGAAGGTGAGAATTTTTTATGATAAAGTTATGTTATTTTTATTTACTGTCATTCACAATGTCGTATAATATACGATTAATTAAGGATCATAGAGGAGTTTCTGATCTAGCTGAGTAAATTTATAATGGTGCAGTCTCACAATGCGAATTCTTTTCAGTCTCAAATTATTTGGACCAGAGCCAAACCTTCTGAATCATTGGAAGTGGACGTATAGTTACCTGTAGGATACCTGTATAGGATGATTATTGGCTCTGATGGTGATGTAGAGTTGACAAGATAAACTTTGCCGTTATATAAAGGCTCATTATTAATTTGAAGAAGACCAGTTTGCTTCACAACTGCAAGAATAGCCTCATTCAGATTGAAAACAGTCTTTGATATAATATTTGCTTTTCAGCAGTGTTACCTTGAATTATACTGACTACTGGTCGGGGACCATCAAAACCGGACAACCATCAAACCGTGACGGTCGCAAAAATAACTGATTTAGATTTTTTTTCTTTGTTCAGTGGTTGTCAGTCAGCCATGCACCTTTTTATCACAATAAATACATGTTTCTTCTATAAGTACTTAAATTTATTTCAACTTACATAAATGGTAATTTCAAGAAAGTTGACTTGGAAAATTTGGACGTCAATAGTGCAATATCTGACCTCTTGTACTAACTATAGTCATTTGCAGTGCAAACAATAAATATAAAAAAAAATCAGCATTTGTTGCTAAAATATTGTATCATGTTAAGAATATAAAATAAAAACACCTTACTACTTATCTTGATTAAAGTTACAATATCTGTCCGGACACATAATCGGACATGGTACTGTAGTGTGGACAATTAAGGTAATTTTTATATAAATAAACTGGCTTGTTAGTTAGGAGAAGAACCTTAAGCTGTAATGTGTCAAATTCTTTGGATCTCTAGCTTTAAAATAAAGGAATTTGCATGGAAAAATGTTTAAAAAGTGTCCGGTTGATGGTTTCCAACCAGTAGAGTTACAGAACCTGTGCTCGACCAATACTTCTATTTGCGTTAAAGTGGAAAAACCCTATGAGTTTGTGTGTGCTATTTGTGCCTGACCAGTAACCTCTACACCATGTACAAGTACTCCAAGTTTGGTGGAAGATTGGCCTTTTGCAGACAATATTAAACAGTACAAAAATACATTTCTATAATAAAAGTAGCAGTAAAAACTATTTAAAACACTGAAATAATGATAATTTAGGGCAAATGTGGACAATATTTTGTTAAATTGCCTTTACTTTTATGCTTCCAATTGATTTCCATAGGAAAGGCACCCAAAAATCATCAAAACCCAGCTTTCCATAAAAGGCAGGGGCTATCAGAACATGCAAACAAATATGGCAGCTGTACGGAAACAAATCGGGAACACACCACTAAAAGAGTAGACCATTTGTGTATTTCACCAAGTATCACATTTAACTATGTTTGCAGAGTGATTAATAGTAAAAAAAATATGAGAATAAGTAATCTCAAACACCCCAGTATATGTAAATTCCGAAACTCTTATAAACACTTTATTTGTCAATGTATAGCATTTCCTTCGTATCATATTTACTCTCATATTTACATCCATGGACACTAAAACATAAATGTTTCAAAATATTTTTGAAATAAAATTGTTGAACATAAAAAGTCATATCTGTTTTTAAAAAAATAAAAGTTCTGATAGAGATAAAACCACCTGGTCGACCACTGGTTTGGTTGCCTGAAAAATATAGTGGTTTTATACCCTATATACAGCTCTGTGGTAAATTGTATCCTGATCTGTGTCGTTAAAAAGCTTTAGCTTATTGTGAGTTTGAAAGGGCCTGCTTTGTAACAAAAATAAGTTTCCTAGTAAACTTTTTGTTCTGAAATAGTTTTTATGTGATTTTGTGAAAAACTGGTTGAGCACTGGTACGGTGACTCAAGATCTACGCTAAAATATTACAAATTCTTAACACATTATTAATGAAATTAGAGATATTCAAACCTGCGACAATGTTTCAGTTTGAACATTTCATGTTGTTATACCTGAAGAAAATTTTTCACTTTTATTAAATAAAGAAAAATGTGAGTTAGGAATTGTTTTTCGCATATGATTCAATATCAATACATGTACCTGTATTTTGTATAAAGAAAACACTTTTTAATGCTATCCTTTCCATGTGCTAGCGTGATGTTATTTTACACAACTTAATGTTTTGATAATAAAACTTTGATAATTTGGACGTCAAGAGTTCAATACCTGACCATACCATGCAGGACCCGCATTTCATGAAGCTGTTTTTACATAATAAATTTCACCCTGAGTCACGCATATTAAAAAAAAACACTAGCACATTGCTCATGAGAATCTTTTCGTTAATGTTTTCTTTTCTGTTAGTGTTAATATATACCGGGCATAATACCCGATTGCAAAGTTTTTGTTCAAGAATTCTTAATATCATGCTTCTTCTTTCACAATTTTAAAAAACAACACTAAAACTTCATAATTTATAAAAAAAAATCACGCTTTGTTTCGAAATAAAAAAAAAACATGAACCCCTTCACAATTTAGGAAAAAAAGGCCCATACACATTAAAGCATTTTTTGTCCAACACAAACCATATAACAAATTTATGCATGAGAACTTATATTTAGGAATCAAATGGGTTCAAATTACTGGAGTCTATGCATCTCTTAGCTCCAGCAGATGATGTGGTTTTGACCCCTGGTTTTGCTTTAAATGTTGTAAAACCGGAGGTTAGCCAAAATCATCTTTCCTGTTTCGTCGCCATAAATTGTGTTGGTGCACCATATACAAAACAAAACAGACAAATAAATATTCTTATAATTTACCTCATTATAATGATAATTAAAAATTGTTATAATTAATATAAGCTTATCTTTTCCCTGATAGTGCATAGGAGATTAATTAATGTGTAAGATTAACTTTAATGAAAGAGTGAAAGTGAAATATATAGATACATATTTGTAAAGTTACAAATTTGCTTATTATAGCCATTTGGTAAGCTCAATAAGATAGAGCGTTGGTCTGTGAAACAGGTGATTCGGGTTCGATTCCTGGACGGCACAGGTCACTTTCGTTGTGATTGATCATGAAATCCTTTCTACAGTCATTCGCACTGTACCTCTGCTGTTGTATGTACAGGAGTTTCAGTTCCTTACGAAAGTGAAGGCAAGTAGTACTGGTAAACTGCTTTACAGTCTGCCTAGGAAGAACTGTGCTCTGGTGAATTTAATGAGGCTTACTGTCGTGATCTGGAGTGAAAACTACAAACACCACCATTTGCTTGCTATATTGATTTGTGTGTTTCATACATGAAGCAAAAAAAATGTAATTAATATCAAGTTTATAGAGTTTATATTCTGTTAAATTTTATTCCAGATATCTAGAAGAGACCTTGCACCAGTGGATTAACATTAGATTGATAGTCCATTTATTTGGATTTTACATCCTGGTTCCCTTTACAACAGCAGTCCATTAATTTGGATTTTACTTACTGGTTCCCTTTACATGCTGTTGCAAGGAACATGGCAGAACCAGAACTTAAGTAAGCAAAGTGGCTTCTCATTTACTTAATAACACAAAAAAACAAAACAGAAAATAACATGAAATGTAACAAGTAAAAGTAGTTGCAGTGTCAACAAAGAGTTTGTATTTTGGAATAAGGAATAAATCATCTTGACATATAAAAATGATATGTATCATTAAGAATTGCAGATTTTGATTTTTAGGCTCTGACCTCAGTGGAGCCCCATTACAGTAGCCTTTCACAATAATAATAATAAGAAAGTATATTATCTATAATTTTTCTGTTAAATATTAATATATAAAATATTGTTTTTCTTTTCTATTTTTATATAACAGGCGGTTTGGAAATAGTTCACAGCCTAGCACGTCAGACCTTGTGAAAACTGTATACAAAGTAGGTTAAAGTTATTTTAAAGTGAGGATTTTATTTTGAGGTGAATTACCATGTGACCTGAAGTTCTTTTACTAGGAGTGATCCTTTTTGTGCAGTCGTTGTTAGGTTGTATTTCACTGTATTACTAAACAACATGCAAAAAAAACGATGTCGAAATTTTATGTTTTGAATATTATAATGAAGTTTTCTCAGGGATTTTTTTCAGTTTTCTTCATCTTTTATCTATCAGATTTGATATACATGTACATTATTATTCTGTATTTGTTTCTATTTACTTTATTATAACGGTCCAGACCCATCTGTTAAACAAAGAAAAGTGTTAAAATACCTAAAGTGCTTCCTAGGCTTAAGCAAAATGTAATGATATCTTAAGTATGTTTGGCATGTTAGAATAATAGTTTCTATCCCAAAGTTTGAGGAGTGATTATTTTACCCCCACCACAAAATGTGAGGGGGCTATAATGGATTCGCTTTGTCGCATCGGTCAGTTGGTCGGTCCGTCCGTCCCTCTCCATTTTTGTGTCTGCTCTATAGATCCTATACCAATTGAAGGATTTTCTTCAAACTTGGCTCAAATGTTCACCTCAACAAGGGGCTGTGCAGAATACATGTTGCCCATGTGTCAGCTCAAGGTCAAGGTCACAATTGAAGGTCAAATATCAAACAATCAAATATTAGACAGTATGTCGTGTCTGCTCGGCAAGTCCTACACTAATTGAAAGATTTTCTTCAATCTTGGCTCAAATGTTCACCTCAACAAGGAGATGTGCAGAACTCATATCACCTTTTTGCCAGCTTAAGGTCAAGGTCACATTTGAAGGTCAATATTCGACACAGAAAATATTCTTAAATTTTAACATTTATTTGAATATTTCTGAAACTAGAAAAGGTATTTGCTTGAAATTTAAAATATATATGAAGTGTCACAATTTAGATATGCTGGTCAAGTTTCATAACTCTGTATTGTATTTTAACAAAGTTATGCCCCTTTTTAAGTCTTCAAATTTACATACAATCAAATATTAGACAATATGTCATGTTCGCTCTATAAATCTTATACTAATGAAAGAATTTTCTTCAAACTTTACTCAAATGTTCACCTCAACAAGGTTATGTGCAGAATCCATGTCACCTTTGTGCCGGCTAAAGGTCAAGGTCACACTTGAAAGTCAAAAATTGACTTAAAAATGTTCTTAAATTTTAACATGTACTTGAATATTTCTGAAACTAGCTCAGGTATTTGCTTGAAACAAATATATGAGGTGTCACAAGTAAGATATGAAGGTCAAAGTTTCATAAGTCTGTATTGCATTTTGACAAAGTTATGCCCCTTTTTAAATCTTTAAATTTACGTACAATCAATACTAGACAATATGTTGTGTCCCCTCTATAAATTCTATACTAATGGAAGAATTTTCTTCAAACTTTACTCAAATGTTCACCCTAACTGGGCAATGTGCAGAACCCATCTTACCCTTGTGCCAACTTAAGGTCAAGGCCACACTTGAAGGTCAAGAAATGACTTATAAAATGTTTAGTACATTAGGAAAATGAAAGGTTATTTGTAACTGTTTCGAACATGATTTGATAATAAATATTTATACTATTACCTGTACAATTAGTCTTTTTTTCACCAGAGACAATTTATTTTTATGTATTTGTGCCACTAAAGTTATTCCCTTATAACCACCTTTCCAAGTTGTCTTCTGTCAAGGACATTGATGGGGGGTATGAATCGCATTCAGCGATAGTTCTAGTTGTAAAAATAATGTTATTTAAAGGTTTAAACTAGGAAATACAAATAAGTAAAATATGTATACAAAATGTACAAAATAATTGCATTACGTAATATAAAATAAATATGACTCATATTTGGGGTTCTTTATAATTCTTAGCTTTGTTAACCTTACATATTTTGTATATCTTCATTTCTGATTTTTGTAGAAATTTTCTGGAAAAACAACAAAAGAAGAGGGAAACACATTGAAAGATGAGGTCTTACCGGAGATAGAGAAAGCAGACGATATTAACAAGTCGGAAGAATTCTCTGAATCGGACAATGAGCTATGTGGCGACATTCTTCAAATCAGAGAGGGTAACTGAAAGTCTCTGTTTGATTTAATGTAGCCTCTACTACTTAAAGTTTATCAAAAAGATCTATGTAAACATTTGTGAACATTTTTAGTTTGTAACAGAAAAATGCAAATGCTTCAGAAAAGATTCCTCCGTGGCTGGATTCGGACTTTCAACCTCCTGCTTACAAGCAATAGTAATAAAGCTCTAGACCGCAAAGCCAAAGAGTCGATTTTCTGACATTGTTGTCTGAAGTTGTGCTTATGATTATTAACGTAGGTGTGCACTCAACCATAACAATACATACCTGCTATTACTTGTTCTTTACAATGCCAGCTGGCTTTTTGTCTCATTATGTACCAAATATTTAAATAGAAGATATTGTATGAATAATGAATTTGTTGAATGAGTTTAACAAAATGATAATATGCGAGCCTCTTTCGAGTAAAATGTTATTTCATCCAACTAGTTAAAAAAAATTTGTAATGAATCTACTTGAATATACTATTCTTTTTATTACATATCAAAAATAAGTACAGTAAAAAAAAAAAAGAATGGCTTATTAAATGATGCGCTTAATAGTGTGACATTATCCTTTAGGGCATCTTTACCCTATGTTTGTAAATTGCAACTGACATTATGTCAAAAGTATATGCACGGTCATGCAATACCGTTTTTATAAAGTTGCATGCGATAAATCTGATTATCACTTTTGATAATTTTAGTCTGATAATTATATTAATGAATAAGTTATGAAATGTTAAACACCCCTACTTCTTTGAGTCAAGTGGTTTACTTTCATCTAAATTAGTGGATGGTTATTTATAAGTCAAATGTGAAACAAGTTATCGCAACTTAAATTAACATTCAAATTTGCTTTCTGGAACAAACCTGTATTGGTGTTTATTGAGAAACATGGTCATGACATCGAGTAGGGGTCAAACCCATGATCATTGGGTTGAGAGGCAGACACTTTTACCATTAGGGCCACTGTTACCCATTACCACTAGTTTATTAAAATGTAAACTTATTTTGGAATGTCTTAAGTGTAGTGATTCTCTGTTTTTGTTTTAGAGTTTGATTTGATTGAGACAATTAATGATGACACAGTAACATTCAAAGAGACTGAAGATAAACTTCCAAGGTACAGTAATACAATAGTAGTAATACTTACGATTTATTTAATGCTAGTCTTACAAGAACAACAGGTTTATTTTTTATGCAAGTGTTTGAAGGCTAATTGTCCCTTTTATATGTCAAATTGTTTTTGCTCGAAGTTACTAGGATGGTTGCCTTTGTGGCTCTATAAGTCAAAGCTGAAGGTCTTGAATATGAAAATGATTGCCATTTTACACTGATACTGTACTTTATAGGAATATTGCCCTTTAAAATTAAATGACTGCTATGTATTTTTGGCAATGCTAATACATGCACTAATATAATGCTAATATAAGTTTTCAGGTCAAGTGGCCAAACTGTTAAGCTTTTTACAGGTGGTTGAAGACTAGAAACGTTCCTCAAAGGGATTCTACTGACGTTTATGATATGACAGGACTTGAAATATCTTTTCATGATTTTGTTGGTCCTTTTTTTACTGCTGATGTGTAGAAATAAGAAAAAGTCGAGCATGGAGATGTTTAAAAAAAGAAATGGCCTTACAAGCAAACAAAATTAATGAACATGTTTAATACACAAAAGTGTTTCTAAATGATATGTGATTTCTAAATTTCTCAGGTTAAAGAAACAAGAAGACATTGAACTCACCTCAAAGACTCTTGAAGGTTTGCTATGTTTGTTGTTTCCATTTAATTTAAGAAAAATTGTGCATTTTAAACTGTAAATCTTAGTCATATTTTTTTAATGTGACAATGCAGGGCTCGACATAAACAGTTGTGCGACTGCCCGGGACAACTAAAAGTTTGGTCCGGGCAAGTGATTTTGAAAAGCACTTGTCCGACAGGGCAAGTGAAATTAAAAAGCATCATTAACAAAACGCATGTACAAAATAAATAGAAAAAACATCTTTTCATTTATAAACATCTGTAAAACAAAAATACACCATGAATCATTATCAATAATGTGAATTTACTACGGTCATGTACATTTGTTGATATAGAAAACAGAAGCCAAAATATGAGCATGCGCCGGGGTAAGATAATTCCCCGTTCTAATAATAGACTATATTTAATTTTGTACAAGGTAATTCCTGGGTCATGCTGTCGTTTTAATTTTGATGCGTGCATGTAAAGATATCATTGAAAATATGTAAATAATCGTATTGACCTTTCGATTCGTATTGGAAAAATGATTTATTGTTAGCTCGACTATTCGAAGAATATGAGAGCTATTGTAGTCGCCCCGGCGTTGGCGTCAGCGTCGGCGTCTGCGTTGGTTAAAGTTTTTTGTAAAGTCAAATATCTCAATTATTACTTGAGATATTCAATTGAAACTTACAATACTTATTTATAGTAACAAGCTACATCAGATTGACAAGTTGGATAACTCTGCCTACAATATTGACAGAATTATGCCCCTTTTTAACTTAGAAATTTTGGTTAAAGTTTTTTGTAAAGTCAAATATCTCAATTATTACTTGAGATATTCAATTGAAACTTACAATACTTATTTATAGTAACAAGCTACATCAGATTGACAAGTTGGATAACTCTGCCTACAATATTGACAGAATTATGCCCCTTTTTAACTTAGAAATTTTGGTTTAAGTTTTTTGTAAAGTCAAATATCTCAATTATTACTTGAGATATTCAATTGAAACTTACAATACTTATTTATAGTAACAAGCTACATCAGATTGACAAGTTGGATAACTCTGCCTACAATATTGACAGAATTATTCCCCTTTTTAACTTAGAAATTTTGGTTAAAATTTTTTGTAAAATCAAATATCTCAATTATTGCTTGAGATATTCAATTGAAATTTAAAATACTTTTTTATAGTAACAATGTACATCAGTTTGCAAAATTGCATAACTCTGCCTGCAATATTTGCAGAATTATTTGCCCCTTTGAAACTTAGAAATTTTGGTTAAAGGTTAAAGGTCTTCAAATATAATTACTTGAAACTTTACACATGCACTTAGGGTCATAATTGGAGGGTCATAATTGTATGTCACTGACCAAGTTCCATAACTCTATCTTGCATTAAGGCTGATTCATATCCCCTTTTCTACTTAGTCTCTTGGTTAATGTTTACATGCAAGTTTTACATATCTCAATAACTATTAAAGATATTTATTTAAAACTTCACATATGCATTTAGGGTCATAATTGTAGGCCACTGACAAAGATCCATAATTCTATCTTGTAATTAAGCTGATATTTCTCCCCTTTTTCAACTTAGAAATTCATGGTAAAGTTTTGCTTGTAAGCTGTTATCTCAATAACTACTGAAGGGTTTGTGCCTTTTTTGGGACAATTTTATGCATTCATAATAATAAAGCAGTTATTTACTTGATAAAACATCTTAATAACAAGCCTTTGTACCTTTTCTGTCAAATTTATGTATTCATAGGTAATTAGTATTATTATACTCAATAAAACACCCTCGTGACATTACCTTCCGAATAGTCAAGCCAATACTGTATAATTAGACTCTCTCTAAGGCCTATAACATGAATTTATAAAAAAAATTAGCCCTTTTGTGAACTTAAAAAATTTAACATTATCAAGGCTCTTTTACTATCAAGCACTTCGAATAGTCGAGCGTGCTGTCCTACCGACAGCTCTTGTTTTATCTAATATAGTAGTCGTCGTTATTAGCCTGGATAATGCTTGATGAACTGATGTTTTAGAAAAACTACTGAATACAAAAATATTTGTGACTAACTAACAATCAATTTCATAAACAATATGTCTAGTTTATTGCCTTATGTTAACATGACCTTATACAAGAAGTAATAATGTATGAGCTTGTTTGTCTTTTCTGATTGATACATTTTTACCATTTTTAGGTCAGGACAAGTAAGTCTTAGGTCAGGGCAAGTAGTTTTAAAAACTACTTGCCCAACAGGACAACCTGATTCAAAAGTTAATGTCTAGGCCTGTAATGTGTTTAACATAATCATGCCTAATACCCTTCGTTTCACTTTCAAACCACTTGTGTTGAAAAGTGGGCAATTAATTACATGGAAAAGTCTAATGACAATTCAATATTGGCTCTTAACCCATCAAAACAGCAATCCAAATTAATCTATGCTATTTAGTGCATGCCTCTAGATGAGCTAAACTACATGTATTTTAAGAAAATCAGACTTTAGAGAAATGTTCTAATATTTTAAGAATAAGTAAAAAGTTCAAAATTTAAGTAATAAGTTACAAGTTATAAGTGATTGATGAGTGATTTTGCAGTATTAATCACCATTTTTAGCTCGACTATTTGATAAGAATAAGTAGAGCTATTAGAGTCACCTGAGCGTTGGCATCCGTGTCGGCGTAACCACTTATGTTAAAGTTTTTTGTAATACCTCAAATATTTTCAAAGTCCATTGACATATGGCTTTGAAACTTTGTACACTTGTTCACCATCATGACCCCAACCTGTAGACAGGAGGAGGTAACTCTATCAAGCATTTTGACAGAATTATGCCCCTTTTTCGACTTACAATTTTCGTTTTAAGTTTTGGTAATACGTCAAATATTTTCAAAGTCCATAAACATATGGCTTTGAAACTTTTGCACACTTGTTCACCATCATGACCCTAACCTGTAGGCAGGAGGAGGTAACTGTATCAAGCATTTTAACAGAATTATGCCCCTTTTTCCGACTTACAATTTTCGTTAAAGTTTTTGTGATACCTCAAATATTTTCAAAGTCCATTGACACATGGCTTTGAAACTTTTGCACACTTGTTCACCATCATGACCCTAACCTGTAGACAGGAGGAGGTAACTGTATCAAGCATTTTAACAGAATTATGCCCCTTTTTCCAACTTACAATTTTCGTTAAAGTTTTTGTGATACCTCAAATATTTTCAAAGTCCATTGACATATGGCTTTGAAACTTTTGCACACTTGTTCACCATCATGACCCTAACCTGTAGACAGGAGGAGGTAACTGTATCAAGCATTTTGACAGAATAATGCCCCTTTTTTTTCGACAAAATTTTCTTTCCATAGATCCAGTGTCTGACAGTAACTTGAAATTTGATGTAAATAGATATAGTATATAGATAAGGAAGATAAGGAACAAGTCATCTATATACTAAAGCTTGTGCATGCATAAGAATTAGAATTTATTTTTGTTTTCAGAATTCATTGGCAAGTCAGATGTTGGTGTTAAATGGAAAGAAAACTTACAATCGCATAATGGTTCAAACCAGAAACCTTATATTCCTACTGATGATATTGCCTTTCCCGACAAAAAAGCTGAAAACAAAGACAACTGTTTAACAGAAGTGCATGGTCAAATCAATGATGTAGAAAGAATGGAACTTGATTACAGTTTAAATGCTGTTGGTGAAAGCAAGACTTCTTTAGAACCTGTCATTGTTTCAGTTGCTAAAAGCAACCCTATGTCAAAGCAAAATAAAGTTTGCTTAAGTAATGATTTGTTTGGTAATGCCAATGATTTGTTTGGTATAGGTAATGTTTTTGTTGGTAAAGGTAATATTTCGGTTGGTATAGGCAATGCTCTTGTTGATAATTCCAATGCATTGTTTGATAATGGTATTGTTTCTGTTGGTAATGCTTCTGGAAATGGCAATGCCACGGTTGGTATACAACCAGATGATCAGTCAAATACTCTGCCAAGTCTAAATCCTTACAAGTCGATGCCCCAGAAGCCACCAGATCCTGCACAATATACAATAAGCCCTGAACTGAGGGAAGCTTTGCAGGCAAATTTGCGTATAAAATCTGAGCAAACAAGAAGGGCCTTACAGGAGAGATTTCACCCATACAAACAGCAAAAGGACAAATCTAAAAAATTTCAAACATCCCTTCCCATACTTCCGGAGTTTGAATAGTATTTCGGTGGCCGGTTTTTGAGTTTATTTGATAGTGTAACATCCTATGCACCAATGAATGAATCTTTGTCAAACTTGGCATTAAGCATGTTTATATTGTTGTGTGTTAAATTTGTAGGGTTTCTTTTTTAAATGGGTGATAAAAATGAAAAACAAAAAAAGAAACCTTTGGGTCAATATCTCCCCTTGAATTTGTGGAATGATTTTCACTAAACTTGATATACATATAATTGTGGAATGGTTATTTCCAAAGTTTATAAACAGACCTTAATAATTTATAAAATGATTTAATATCAGATTAAAGATTAATTTACTCTAAAGACAATACAATTTAATACAAGATAACTACAGTAAAAGAATATCTAAAACTACAGTAAAAGAATCTAGATATTATATAGACTGGCACCAAATTTATTGAACAGGTTAAATAAAATTATATAATGTAAGCATAATGATATTTTATTCATGGAGTTAATTAAATTTAGCAATAAAGCTACATAAATATGATATTATATTCATCACATATCCAAAATAAGTGCTGTGTACTGTAAAAATGAATCACTTTTTTATTGAGATGCCTAACACATAGCACGTCTTTAAACTCTGTTTGTATAATGCAAATGATGTAATGTAAATATATGCACAGTTTTTACATAGTCACAAAAGTGGCACAGATATGTGATAAATCTAATTTTGGAAGAACTTTGTAAGATGTTATTAGAAACTACTTAAAAGATATACTATGCTCAAATATGATATCAGAAAATATGAATATTTGCTATACAGTCTCTTTGTAAATATGAAATAAACATGTTTTGACTTCACACAAAGTTGATATGTCATGTTGTCAACTCTAAGCACTATAGGTCATCACAGTATGGATATATAGTGCCGTTAAAAAACTGGCAGTTTTTTAAGAAAAGACCAACTTTACTTGTCCTATAATACAGAACGTGACATCAAATGCATAGTTTATATATTTATTTATTTATTTTTTAGCTCGACTATTCGATAAGAATAAGTAGAGCTATTGTAGTCACCCGAGCGTCGGCGTCTGCGTCGGCGTAACCACTTATGTTAAAGTTTTTGTAATAGTTCAAATATTTTCAAAGTCCATTGACATATGGCTTTGAAACTTTGCACACTTGTTCACCATCATTACCCCAACCTGTAGACAGGAGGAGGTAACTGTATCAAGCATTTTGACAGAATTATGCCCCTTTTTCGACTTAGAATTTACGTTAAAGTTTTTGTAATAGTTCAAATATTTTCAAAGTCCATTGACATATGGCTTTGAAACTTTGCACACTTGTTCACCATCATTACCCCAACCTGTAGACAGGAGGAGGTAACTGTATCAAGCATTTTGACAGAATTATGCCCCTTTTTCGACTTAGAATTTACGTTAAAGTTTTTGTAATAGTTCAAATATTTTCAAAGTCCATTGACATATGGCTTTGAAACTTTGCACACTTGTTCACCATCATTACCCCAACCTGTAAACAGGAGGAGGTAATTGTATCAAGCATTTTTTTTTTACTATCAAGCACTAAGAATAGTCGAGCGTTGCTGTCCTACCGACAGCTCTTGTTTATTCAAATTAGACATATTCAGTAAGAATTTCATAGGTTTTAATAAATTTCTTCGATTAAACTATTTTACTCAAAAATGAGCATAGTATATCTTTAAACCCTTTTCATGCTGCAGGAGCCTAAAGTGACTAGTATAGAGCCAGGCTGGCCTACATACCTGTGTAGTCTGAACAGCTCCTATAATGTTGGTAGCTCAATTTTTGTATATTGAAAATAAAATCCCTAAAACTCTAGCTAGCATCTTCAATAGTTAGTTAAACTAAAGTTAAAAAAATCTATGTACTCATTAGTTGATATGATAGCAAATTGATAGTATATTTTTGAATTACTACTTATATAGTACAGTTTGAGTATATTATATCCAGTTTTTGTGGAAATGAAATACTCTAAGATCCCAAGAGAATATTTATTTTCTGTATATTGTATATATTATAAAATTATGGATGATATAAATGTATTATGTCCTTATGTTTTTCATAACATTACAATAAATTGTAGGGTGAAATAGTGGATGGATCCCCGACCCTATTTTACCTATTATGGGGACAATAAACGGAGTTACCTATTGGACTTCAAAAAAATAATAAAATAAAATAGATAAAATCCCTAAACCTTTGAATAGACAGTTCCAAAAATGGAAGCTGGACAAGTCCATTTTAGTAATTTAGTAGGTTCAGGGTTAAATACATAATTGATTGTAAATTGTTTTTTTTTAATAGAGAAAATAAAAGCTGTTGTATGATAAGCTGTAATGTATTTGTATATTCCTGTTTAGTTTGTATAATTCTGTAATCAATGACTTATCACAAGACTTTTATGATTATTTCGATGTTATATAACCATTATGTATAGAAATGTATCTTTATATACCCATGTTTAAAGGAGCTCCACTTTGGTAAGAAAAAATAGCCTAAAACATCAATTTTGAAATTCTTACTTAGATGAAGTGAAGCACTTCATTGGAAAAACCTGCAAAAGGTTATTAATAAAGAAATCAAAAGAGATTGATTGTTGATTTTTTCTGCAATTCTTTGCCCATTTTGAGCCAAAAGCCTTCAAAAGGTTTTTCATTTTTGGGTCATTTTGCACTATAAGAATGTTTGTTCTGGAAGAACTGGTGAGAGAATGTGGAGTCCCTTTAATACAACAGCACTTTTTGTGAGAATGTTAATTTTTATAAAAAGTTGTAAACAGATTGTTACATGTAATAAAAAGAATCTGACATTTATTTTCCTTGGATATAATCAGAGATTGTCAATTGTCAAAATAAAATTTTTCCTGAGCTTGTTTCAAAAAAGAAAAGTTATAGTATTAATCATAGTTTAAGTCAGATCCTTTAATGTATGAAAACATTCTGTCCATTCAGAAGTGATATTTATTTACATACCTGTATATTGTATTCAGAAGTCCATTGGTTCACATTGCTATTTCGATTTCGAGCAAGGTGGATTGATGTTTGCAGTGTATAAAGCATGTTTTTATCTAGGAAATGATATCTTGTCCTCTTTCTTACGTCATAGAATTTGCTATTTGTTGGCCTGCACTTTTAGCTCAACAGTGAGAGCATAAAACTACTAATCTAAGAGTCGCAAGTTTGATCCTTTGGGTTGGTGTACTACGATTTCACTTATATTCGTGGGCATGAAATTTCGTGGTTTTAATCAAAACAGGCATTTTCGTGGGTTCTTAATTTCGTGGATTTTCAATGTTTTGTAAAAAAATATAATAATACATATTTTTACATATCACACAGCGCTTGTCAATAAATTTTATCCTCGCCTCTGGGCATTCATTACACAAAAATCGGCGGAAAAGCGCCGATGCAGGTTTGTAATATATAGAATAGAGACATGGCAAGAATTATTTATTGGTATAAAATTTTGTCTGATCTTAAAATTTGTGGATTGACCTACCCACGAAAATTTGTGCCCCACGAATAATAATAATTTTACAGTAATTTATACTTTGTGACAATTGATCTTGGACATTGTGTTTAATAATGGTTGTTTTGTCTCTCACGGCTGAGATATTCAGAAATCATGTTGGTCACTTGTGGTGAGGTTAGTTCATCATCCAGGAAAGCCAATTTGGTGGATCTTAAGGAGATGTAACCAAAATCATGTGTTAAAATTGGCATAAAAAATAAAAGAGAAAAGAAAACAAGAATAATAACTGCTGTTTGGCCTTATATTTGCATGTACATTTTATTTATATTGAATAAGATAAATTTTGTCATGGACTGTAAATTATTTAATAAGATTTTTGATGAATTAAATAAGTTGAAGCAGGACTATAACCAGCTCTACTGGCTAATTTTCATTACTACATGTAACATGTATAGAACGTTTTTGCCTTAGGGGCACCTGAGGTCTCTCTTCACCATTAAAGCTGGAAAGTCCCCATATGACCAATTTTGTGTTGGTGCAACCTCAAATCAAACCAGAGAGAAAAAAAAAATGCTTTTATTATAAGTGTGGACTTGTATCTATGTACATGTAATGTTTATTAATTGTGTATGAATGATTTAGTGTTGTATTTGTGTCACATGTGCTGGGATAACTCTTCTTTATGAAGGTGATTAAGGTATTTAGAAGAAAAAGTTTCATGTGTGGAATTGTTAATTACTTTGATGAAGATATTGGCATGAAGCAACTTGGAAAAATGTTTGTAACATAATTTTGTACAGTATCTAGATACCCATACCAGTGCAACTTAGAATATTTTCTGTAGCAAAATTTTGTTAAATACCTTGATTACCATGCTGGTGATTGTACCATTTAAATAATTTTCTATAATATTATTGAGCCGTGTCATGACAAAACCAACATAATGCATTTATGACCAGCATGGATCCAGACCAGCCTGCAGACCTGCGCAGTCTGATCAGGATCCATGCTGTTCGCTATCAGTTTCTCTTCTTGTAATAGAGTTGGTATGCAAACAGCATGGATCCTGATCAGACTGCGCGGATGTTGGTTTTGTCGTGACACGGCTCAATTTTGTTAAATATTTGGAACACCATATTTGTGATGTTAAAGGAACTCCACTAAGGTCCTAAAACATAAAATTTCAAATTTCTAACATAGATAAGCTGGGGCACTATTTCTAACATAGATAAGCTGGGGCACTTAAAACAGAAAGATATGCAAAAGATAGAAATGCAATATATTCAGAAATGAATTGAAACTCGAATTGTTTTGCTATTCAAAGCCAAATTTTAGTGAAAAGCATTGCAATGCTTTTTAATTTTTGGTCAGTTTTCACAATTGGAATTATTATTCTATAAATGGGGAGTGAGCAAATGATCTTAAATTTAGCACCCCAGTTTACTGGTCTAGATCTACATGCAATGGAACATTAATCACGAAAAATTATTTCCAATACTGTCATATTTAAACACCTTAGTGGAGTTCCTTTTAAACTTAGAATATTTTCTGTAGCATAGTTTTGTTAAAATACCATAACACCATGTTAGTGATGAATATCTTGAAAATAAAATCATTTTGTGAAACAGTGATTCTATCAAGTGTTACTGTTAGTGAAAATATTTTTTATTCATAATTAATTTTTAGCTCACCTGACAGGGTGAGCTTTTGTGATCGCTTTTCGTCCGTCGTCCGTCCGTCGTCCATCCGTCCGTAAACTTTTACTTTAAATGACATCTCCTCATAAACCACTAAGCCAATTTCATCCAAACTTCACAGGAATGTTCCTTTGGTGGTCACCTTTAAAAATTGTTCAAAGAATTTAATTCCATGCAGAACTCTGGTTGCCATGGCAACCGAAAGAAAAAACTTTAAATATCTTCTTTTAAAAAACCATAAGAGCTAGAGCTGAGATATTTGGCATGAAACATCTTCTAGTGAGTGTCTACCAAGTTTGTTCAAATAAAAGCCCTGGGGTCAAAATTGGTCCCGCCCCGGGGGTCATTGATTTTCCCTATATGCATATAGTAAAAACTTAAAAAATCTTCTTTTAAAGAACTCAAAGAGCTATGGCTAAGATATTGAGCATCAAACATGTTCTAATAGGTGTCTACGAAGTTTGTTCAAATAAAAGCCCTGGGGTCAAAATAGGCCCCGCCCCAGGGGGTCATTGATTCTCCCTATATGCATATAGTAAAAACTTAAAAAATCTTCTTTTAAGGAACCAAAAGAGTTAGAGCTAAGATATTTAGCATGAAACATGTTCTAATAAGTGTCTACCAAGTTTGTTCAAATAAAAGCCCTGGGGTCAAAATTGGCCCCGCCCCGGGGGGTCATTGATTTTCCCTATATGCATATAGTAAAAACTTAAAAAATCTTCTTTTAAAGAACTCAAAGAGCTATGGCTAAGATATTGAGCATCAAACATGTTCTAATAGGTGTCTACGAAGTTTGTTCAAATAAAAGCCCTGGGGTCAAAATAGGCCCCGCCCCAGGGGGTCATTGATTCTCCCTATATGCATATAGTAAAAACTTAAAAAATCTTCTTTTAAGGAACCAAAAGCGTTAGAGCTAAGATATTTAGCATGAAACATGTTCTAATAAGTGTCTACCAAGTTTGTTCAAATAAAAGCCCTGGGGTCAAAATTGGCCTGGCCCCGGGGGGTCATTGATTTTCCCTATATGCATATAGTAAAAACTTAAAAAATCTTCTTTTAAAGAACTCAAAGAGCTATGGCTAAGATATTTAGCATCAAACATGTTCTAATAGGTGTCTACCAAGTTTGTTCAAATAAAAGCCCTGGGGTCAAAATTGGCACCGCCCCGGGGGTCATTGATTTTCCTTATATGTGTATAGCAAAAACTTAAAAAATCTTCTTTGAAAAAACCCAAATAGCTAGAGTTAAGATATTAAGCATGAAACATCTTTAAGTGAGTGTCTACAAAGTTTGTTCAAATAAAGGACCTGGGGTCAAAATTGGCCCAGCCCCGGGGGTCATTGATTTTCTTTATATGTGTATAGCAAAAACTTAAAATCTTCTTTGAAAAAACCCAAATAGCTAGAGTTTAGATATTAAGCATGAAACATCTTCTAGTAAGTGTCTACAAAGTTTGTTCAAATAAAAGCCCTGGGGTCAAAACTGGCCCGGCCCCAGGGGTGTCATTATTTTTAACTATATGTGTATAGTAAAAACTTTAAAAAAATCTTCTTTTAAAAAAGCCCAATGAGCAAGAGCTTAGATGTTTAGCATGAAACATCTTCTTATGGGTGTCTACCAAGTTTGTTCAAATAAAAGCCCTTGGGTTAAATTGGCCCTGCAACGTTGGGGGGGGGGGGCTATATACAGGTGAGCGACCTCAGGGCCATCATGGCCCTCTTGTTTAAAGTCTTAGTATAAGTAAATTATCAATGATGTGTTTGTAAATTATTAGTGATTCTGAAAATTAAAAATATTTTACAATATTGTATTGAGTTATAGTTAAAAAAAACTGATGTGTCAGCTTTATGAATAATACAATATGGAATATGCATTCACTTATTAGAATTTTATTTGTAGGAAATAAAATAAAATGAAAATAAACATAACATACTATGAGGCAAATTCTTTTATACATGTATCTTTGATCTTTTTGTGCTTATGTAGAAATTAGTACATGTAGTAAATAAAACTGAGAATAGAAATGCACTGTCTTGCTTTGATTTGCTTGAATTTGTTTAGAATTAAACGAGGATCTAAATCAAGTACAGAATCCCAAATTCTGAACATCTTTTGTGTTGAATTAATTATTACTGATACCAGATTTCCAGTTTGGCAGCAAGACAATTTGAAATGTTTTATTATGCACAATGGTTTTCACTTTGATCTGATTAACTTGATATATCGTTTCCATTCAATAATTGAGTACTGTGTTACACAAAGTCTATAACTACATAGGACAATTTGCCCTGTGTGACTCATTAAGACTAATATGGTTTTGGACCACTCTTATAACTCCTATCTATCAAACAACTCTGTATCATTTGACTTGCTCGACACATCCATATCTTTTACATGTTTAACATCTCCTTATCTCTTGACTTTCTCAACACCTTCGTATCTTTAGATTTGCTTAAGACCTCCATATCTTTTGACTTGCTCAATATCTCAATATATTTTGACTTGCTCAACACCTCCGTATCTTTTGACTTGCCCAACACCTCCGTATCTTTGGACTTGCTCAACACCTCCGTATCATTTACTTGTTCAACACCTCCGTATCTTTTGACTTTCTCAACACCTCCATATTTTTTTATTTGCTCAACACCCCTATATCTTTTGACTTGCTCATCATAGCCGTATCTTTTGACTTGCTAAACATCTCTGTATCTTTTGACTTGCTCAACACCTCCATATCTTTAAACGTGCTCAACACCTCCATATCTTTTGACAAGCCCAGCACCTCCGTGTCTTTGGACTTGCTCAACACCTCCATATCTTTTGACTTGCTCAGCACCTCCATATCTTTTGACTTGCTCAACACCTCCATATCTTTGGACTTGCTCAACACCTCCGTATCATTTACTTGTTCAACACTTTATCAACACCTCGGTATCTTTTGACTTGCTCAACACCTCCGTATCATTTTCTTGCTCAACACCTCCATATCTTTTGACTTGCTCGACACCTCGGTATCTTTTGACTTGCTCAACAACGCGTATCTTTTGACTTGTTTAACACCTATCTTTTGACTTGCTCAGCACCTCCGCATCTTTTGGCTTGCTCAGCACCGTTGTATATTTTGACTTGCTCAACACCTCCATAACTGTTGACTTGCTCAACACCTCCAGCTAGCTTACGGAACATCGGTGATTCTACTCAGGTGCCCGTTCGTGCCTGAAATAATGCGCGGAAGGGCACCTGAGGTCTTCCTCCACCAGTAAAGCTGGAACGTTGCAATATGACCTATTCTGCGTCAGTGTGACATATAACCCAATCAAACAAACAAACAAAACATGCTCAAGACCTCTGTTTCTTTTGACTTGCTCAACACTCCTTAACCTCTGTTTCTTTTGACTTGCTCAACACCTCCTTATCTTTTGACTTGCTCAACACCTCCTTATCTTTTGACTTGCTCAACACCTCCTTATCTTTTGACTTGCTCAACACCTCCTTATCTTTTGACTGGCTCAACTACGTTATTGACATAATGGATTTTCCTGTCGTCACTTATGATATGTGATTATTATTGAAATCAAAATCTTAATATCATAGAATAGATCATTAACAAAAGTAGGTGTTGTGTTTTTCACATTCATTGAAATGGAGAAACGAGAAGCAGTTACTCATAAATGAGCACCATGTGTGCGTGTTCGTGCGTGCATATGTGTGTCGGTCACATATTTACAGTTTTTTTTTAATCTTAGATATACGTACATCGGACATACATAATGGTATAGCGATTAAGGCTATTTCAAAGGATTCTTAAAAATTATGCACGATAGTCCAAATTTTACACTTATTCTCAGTAAACCAAGAAATTTCACATTTTCTAGACTGACAATTAACAACTTCCTTGAATACTAAAATAAATAGTATCTCAAAATCTGAAATATCATCAGTACACACACATGTCTTAGTTTTTTCTCCTTTAAAGTTTTTTCTATATAGAACCAGAACTAAAATTCGTAAATGGTCGTGGCAATAGTACTTAATTTTGTACAATTAGTATTGCAATCTCATTTGGTTTAGTTAAATAAACTTTCCATAATATTGATAAATAAAAATCTTAGAATGGTAATCAAAAGTCAAACGTCTAAATATTAATTATTATTATATCAGAATTATAAATCTTAGAAGCAGTCTGCAAGTTAAAATTCATTTATAAGATACATTATTGTCAAGACATGTATAAAAAAATCTTTGTTTCTGTGGAAGAATCCAAAACCAAAACAAGCAGAATAATTCACAAGATGTGATGACTTTCTTTGACCAAGCAATTCTATGAGAAATATTGAAAAGATTTCAATAAATGACTTAAGTATAAGCATAGGATTGATAAATATCCACTTTAACTATATCAAGTATAATAACATGATATTGTTAAAAACCTATTGTCAAAACGTAAGTTTTTAAGAACTTTTTTTAAGTTAACTCTATTACTGTACACTTAATTAATATCCCCGTGTCGTGTTTTTTCGTGGGTACAAGGACAATGTCGTTGAACTAACGGATATTTTTCACAAAATTAATAAAAATGAAGATAAGGTTAAACCATCCATTTACATACACAATAACAAAAATCTTAGAGTGACCTACATACAAGGTACTAAAGCAGAGCTAGCATTTTTCTCCGAGAGTATTTTTGTGGATCAAATTTGATTGCTGATAAAACAGTTTTAAGTAAAAAAAATCCATATGTTTTAGCATTAAGTCCTTTTTCAAACAATTATCATTGTTTTCATCAGTAAAGTTAAATAACAAAAACGGCGGTAACAGGAACAGTTAACTATTTACATTTGGAGGTCTCACATTATTTATTTTTATGCCACCGCAGCATCTGCGATGCGATGGTATATAGCTATTCATCTGTGTGTTTTTATTTATGTATGTATGTATGTATGTATGTATGTATGTATGTATGTATGTATTTATGTATGTACGTACGTACGTACGTACGTACGTACGAACGTATGTATGTTATCTAGATTATATAGAAAACTTAAAAACTCTTCTTGTGGGAAACCGCTAGTCCAATTTCAACAAAACTTGGCAGGATTGACTCACGAGTGAAAGGCTTCCGATGTTGTTACAAGAAAATTTCATTCCATGCAGAAATCTGGTTGCCATGGCATCCAAAAAGGAATTATAAGAATAAATTTTAAAAATCTTCTTTGTAAGACCCACAAGACCTAGAGCATAGATATTTTGCATAAGGCTTTGTCTGGTAGACCTCTACCAAGATTGTTCAAATTATAGCCTTGGGGTCAAAATTGGCCTCTACCCCGGGGGTCATTGATTTTCACTTTATGTACATATAATAAAAACTGAAAAAATCTTCTTGTCTCAAGGTACAAGTCTTAGAGCTTTGATATTTGGTAAATGATATTATCTATAAGTACTCTACCAAAATTGTTCAAATTTTGCCTCTCCAAATTTTTTTAGCTCACCTGTCACTTTGTGACAGGGTGAGCTTTTGTGATCGCTTTTTGTCCGGCGTCCGTCCGTCCGTAAACTTTTACTTTAAATGACATCTCCTCATAAACCACTAAGCCAATTTCATCCAAACTTCACAGGAATGTTCCTTTGGCGGTCACCTTTGAAAATTGTTCAAATAATTTAATTCCATGCAGAACTCTGGTTGCCATGGCAACCAAAAGAAAACACTTTAAATATCTTCTTCTAAAAAACCCAAAGATCTAGAGCTTAGATATTTGGCATGAAACATCTTCTAGTGAGTGTCTACCAAGTTTGTTCAAATAAAAGCCCTGGGGTCAAAATTGGCCCCGCCCCAGGGGGTCATTGATTTTCACTATATATGTATATAGTAAAAACTTAAAAAATCTTCTTTTAAAGAACCCAAAGAGCTACAGGTAAGATATTTAGCATGCAATATCTTCTAATGGGTGTCTACCAAGTTTGTTCAAATAAAAGCCCTGGGGTCAAAATTGGCCCCGCCCAAGGGGGTCATTGATTTTTCCTATATGCATATAGTAAAAACTTAAAAATCTTCTTTTAACCCATTACGTTATATACACGCCTTTTAACGCCTTTTTCACCCCCCCCCCTTTTTGTTGTCTCAAATGGTGAAAAAATGCCTTATTTAGGCCCCCAACACTTGTTTTTGTTTGAGAAATGTTGTTAAAAAAGTGACCTCTTTTTCGGCGCGGCCCCCAACCAAAAGATACATCAGGGGGTTGCCAGAAGGGGGATGTGCCCCCTTCTGTTTGGGGGGTTTGAAGGGGGGCGGAGTCCCCCTCATCGCCAAGAAAATTTTGGACTTGTGAGAGGCTATAAATGACCCCAGATTGATCATAAGGTAACGTGTAACCAACGCTGAAAAGCATTTGACTCTATCTCAATCCATTGAGAAGTTGCAGCACTTTGAAATCAATTTTGATGGAAAAAATCAACGCAAAATAGTGATTTTTGGCAATTTTGAGATGTTCCCTCGTTGCCATGGTAACAGAAAATTTAAGCCTGATCATGTTGTTGCAAGGGCAATGGTCCAGTCAACATTTGTGCCAAGTTTGATTAGTGTTGAAGCAGTTTTTATAGTATTATAGCAATTTGAACTTGTAACGGGAGACTTTTCAATGAAAACAGCCATTTTTCACAAAATGCTCATGAAGTAATGGGTTAAAGAACGCAAAGAGCTAGAGCTAAGATATATAGCATGATATATGTTCTAATGGATGTTTACCAAGTTTGTTCAAATAAGAGCCATTTGGTCAAAATTGGCCCCGCCCCGGGGGACATTGATTTTCCTTATATGTGTATAGCAAAAACTTAAAAAATCTTCTTCGACAAAACCAGAATAGCTAGAGTTTATAGATATTAAGCATGAACATCTTCTAGTTAGTGTCTACAAAGATTGTTCAAATAAAAGTCCTTGGGTCAAAACTGGCCCTGCCCCAGGGGTGTCATTGTTTTTAAATATATGTGTAAAGAATAAACTTAAAAATCTTCTCTTAAAAAACCCAAC